TTGAAAATAAATGATCATGTAATATAAATGGCATTAGAGAATATCCTCATATTCAACGTTATATGTTTTAGAAATTTTTAAAATTTTATTTTGGTTTTTTTGCAATATCGAATTCTTGGAATTTCCTTTCACCCATCATTTATTTCTTTAGGCAAGAGTTCAAATAAGTCGGAGCAACTTAGAAATGTGATCTATTATATACTCCCTCTGTTCCGAATATTGTCCAGATTGGATTTTTATTTATAGCTCAAAATTGTACTAAAAATTAATATCAAACTGAACATAATTTTTGGATAGGCGGAGTACTTTTTTAATTTAAAAATAATTTTTTGGTGTATGAACCTAATTTTTAGTACAACGTTACAAACAAATCGGTCAATTTTAAACGAATAGATTAAAGTAAGATTTTCTATAATGAGGAAAATAGTTCCGAAAAACCATTTACACTCTACGTATACAACCCATTGCACTTCAATAAATACTTCCAGAACATTTATCAACAATCAATATTTTGAATACTTGCTCGTCTCAAAAATGTAAACTATAGTTTGCTTTTCTCACTTAGTTAAGTTCTATTAATTATACATGTTATCATGGATGAACAAAATTTTTAACAATAAGATTAGTCTATCAAATAGTAGGAGTTTGTGTTTTCCCTCCCACTTCACTTAGTTTTTGAATGTAAACTTTTTAAAGTTTGTAGTTAATATATAAACTTTACTGATGGAGTTATTTGATTTATTAATGGCGTTGATTTTTGTATTCCTCTAAACGGAAGCTTGCATTTCATCCCCGTATTGATTGTGATTCGCGATCAGTTCGTTCGCCCATGTAACATCTAATGTGTTACTACTTGCATGTTTTAGTGTTCACAAGTGATGTGACGCAGGAAAGGTGCACAGGACAGAAAAACTTTCATTTAATTAATTAAATATACACATTATAAAGACAAATCTATAAAAATAGGACGTCACACAAAAATCTAGACCGTGTTTATATTCCAATATCGTCCATGGTTGTATAATCACGTCACCAAAAATATATTAAGATTAAGGCAAAAGGGTTGATGGGATGTATTTATATCTTCTTAAGACTTGAAATCAGGGTTTAGCTCCCATTCCCAACTTTAATTTCTGATACATACAAAAGGTAAAAACAATGCAATACTGAGCTAGGCATCAAGCAAAAATTCTGTTTTTTTTTTTTTCCCCGTTTAGATCTCCGACACTTGCATCATAAATTCATAATGTACTATATATTCAAGAAGAGTTTTCATTCGACATGTGCCTATCAATTAAATAGTTCTGAGCCTTTTTTTACCACGTGTTAATTTTAGAATTTTTTTTACACTTGTCAACTCTAAAGACCCCCATTCATTAAAGTGTTAAAATTTTTATAAATTGGTTATTTGAAGTTAATTTTCACCCATGCATTTCACCACTTTTTATTACACTTCATATATATTTGATTATCTACTTAATTAATAATGAAAAATCAATATTTTGCATTGATAATTATTTTTAACTTTTTTTACTAGTTGCTAAGAATGATTTTACACACATTTTTAAGCAACGTTCATGTGGTGGGATTTTTTTTAAAAAAAAAATGAAGTCGTAAAATTTATTTCACTATATGAAAAACCATCATTATAAAATGTAGCATTTTTCAGGAAAATCTAACCAAAAAAAATATTACAAAAGAGAGGTTTTGTAAAACACAATATATCTTTACATTTCTTTTCTCCTTTTGAGGTCGCTAAAACTTTCATTTTGAGTTTACTAAATTTATTTGTAAATATTTATGAAATTATACTACTAAGTTATTATCAATTTTATCGATTATTACTTCTAAAATTTTACTACAAATAAGTCATACTAATATTTTACCTTAAAAAGGTACACTATCTTGAAAATGAAATATGAAAAAAGATTAATGCAATTTACACAACAAAATATGGACAAGAAATCAAGAGTTAATACTTGGCTCACATGTGATCATAATTTTATACTTTTACGCAATATGTTGCACGGGGACAATTCTAGTAAGATATTAAAGTCCACTCACAACACCTTACGCAAATTCTCCCCATGATAAAAACACTAGTTTTTACCTTTCACGTTATGGGGATTGCTTTTTTTATGAGATAAAAATTAGATTATATTACCTCTTTGAAAATAATTCAAAATTTATAATAAGCAATTTTTATAGATCGAACTAACCGACAATTTGAACTATTGTATATTAATGAGTGTCAAACTAAGCATTTTTTTAAACACATAATTTGCCTTTTTATACTTAGTTTTTAGGTCAATTAGATTAGGATTTTATATTTATAGGTTAATTTAGTGATTTTTGATAATCCAGGGCTGAAATGCAAAATGAGCAAAAAGGTGGTCAAAATGTGACAAAATGGTGATGTTTCGGCTAAATTGGAAGATGCTGCAGGGACTGAAGTGCAAGGGCTAAAATTGGCTGAATCCGGCGGGAAGAAGAGGCGAAGGAAGGCCAAATTGAACCAAATCTTCGAAGCTAAGGAAGAAGGCAAGATGCTGAAGGAAGGCTGGTGACACGGGGAAAGATTAATGTGCCTTAACGCTGAATTAGAACAACCAAACCTCTCCCAAAAGATGTTAGAGGTAAGGGGGGAAGTTGAGACAAGTATGGGTCATCTCTCTTTTGCTTAACCCATCGTGTAAAGAGGAGACCAACTTGGCTATGCAAGATTACTCCCCGCAACCTCTATAAAAGGCAGCAGCAGCAGAAGATGAAGCACAAGAAGAAGTAGGAGTAGATCGTAGAAGTTAGCTTAGTTTAGTTAGGATTAGAAACAAAGCATCAGTTTAGAAGACAGACTCAGGGGTGTCTCTTGGGGAAGTGGAGGGTGACTCTACGAAGTCAGCTGCACTTTACCACACTCCCTGACTTTGCTCTTTCCCTGTTTTCTATCTTTTCTGTTGAAATCATGAAGAACTTTCAACACTTGAACTTTGTACTGTTTGAGCTTTCCTCTATGAGTAGCTAAACTCATTTCTAGGGTCCAATCCCTCTACTCTTTATAAGCATGTTTTGATTCAAGCTCTCGAATGATATTTGTGTGCTTAGTCTTAGAGTAATAATTTACCTCTTAGTTAAATTGGCCACTTAGCTAATTGTGTTTGCATGTTAGGGGAATCCCGAAAGGGTAAACTTAACCTAGAACGTCTAAGATTAACCGGTGACGAGAGGGTAACAACCCAAGGTTTCAAACAACAACGAAAGTTAGTTGTTTGGCACGAGGCAATCATAAGGGCTTAAGTTCTTAATGGCTTAGTATGTATTCTGGAGTTACCAACGAAAGTTAACTGGCTTGTTGCTACTAGGAGTGCTGTTTGGAATATCGAAAGGGACCTCACAATGTTAATGTGTCTGATTGAACACAGTTTCATACCACATAGAGAGCAAAAGAATCATCACATATGTATATAGAGTAGAGAGGAGGACGACCCTAGGTTGGTATCACTTTGTTAAGTTATAAACTCACTTCCCAATCTCATATTTCTGATCATACATTGCATTCTTGCACTGGAACCCAATTTTCATTAGTTGTTTCCGGTCTCTGTGGGATCGATCCTTCTTATCACTTACTATAATTTTTAAGCAGGTTTATTTTGGTGGTCTCAACACCCATAGAAAGTGGCGCTGTTGCTGGAGACGGCGTAAAACTTTTGAAAATTAGTTACTGTTCATCGTTTTTATACTCTGTTTTTCTTAGATGTTAATTCAAAAATCAAAATCTCTTCATTCTTGTTACTTGTTATTGTTGGTTTTTGATTTATGGTATATGACAAGAAGTAATCCCCTGAGGAATTCTTCTTTGACCCAGAAATTGAAGCCACTTCCAGGAGAATCAGACACCTCAGGCATCAGTATGCAGCTGCTGAAGCCAAGGGGGAGTTTGCTTACCATGGAAGCCTTAGATGAAGAAGAAGTCAAAAACAATGGTGGAGCTAAAATTCAGTCAGCTCAACCCCGATTGTTGAGAGATTACTTCATCCCTCAACAAGAGGAGGTTCAATCGCCATTGGTTTTCCCAGATGTGGAGGCTGACAATTTTGAGCTCAAATCAAACATGATTCAATGGGTTCAGGCAGTCTGTCCATTCATGGCTTACCATCAGAACACCCCAATGATAATCTACCTTCTTAAGGGTTTGTAGTACATTCAAGATCCAGGGACTATCTCAGGACAACATCAAATTGAAGTTGTTCCCATTCACCCTTCAAGATCAAGCTCAGGCGTGGTTAAATTCTCTGCCCAACAACTCCATTACAAGCTAGCAGGAACTAAGGCAAGCATTCTTAATAAAATTATTCCCACCATCTAAATCAACTCATTTTAGACCTGCAATCATGGCATTCCAGCAACGTCCTAATGAAACATTATATGAGTCTTGGGAAAGATTCAAAGAGTTGCTGTGAAAATGCCCACAGCATGGGATTGAGGACCATATGAGGTTAGGCATTTTCTTTAATGGCCTAACCCAATCTTCCAAAGATTCCCTTGATTCCTCTACTGGTGGAGCATTCATGAGGAAGAATGTGGGAGATGCAACCTAGCTGTTGAAGAACATGGCTATCAACCACTATACGTGGCGATCAGATCCCAGAGCTCTACCCAAAAAGGCTGGTGTATTTGAAGTTGATACAGCTACTTATATGCAAGCCCAACTCTCTCAACTCTTGAACCAGATCGCCAAAGTAGAAGCTCTTATTGCCAAGTCACAAACTGACTTGTGTAAGTCATGCTCTGGTCTACATAAGATTGACAATTGCCCTAAGTTGACAGAGTCAGCTCAATTTGTTCTTCAGAACAATGTCGGAGGTTTCAATCCTTACAACTACTGGAGAGGACAGTAGAGCAACTGGAACATCAATCAACAACAACGCAGCTACCAAAGGCCTGACCAACCACCTGGTTTTCAGAAATGAGACTGGAGTTTAAAGGAAAGTGATGTGGTTGAGATGAAGACAATGCTCAAGTCTTTACGAGCCAACCAACATCAACTGGAGGCAAGGTTGAGTCAGAATGAGAAGTTATGTGCAAAAAGAATAGCATGAAGCCTGCCAAGTGATACTGTAGAAAACCCAATGCCAAATTCACAGGAGCAATCCAAGGTGGTATCACTTCACAGCGGAAAGAAACTCACTCCCACAAGTGAGGATCTAAGCCAAGCACCTGCAGAAGTACCTGAGGAAGCTGAAGACATCATTGACCTTATTAAAGAAAAAGAAGCAGTAGTGAATCCTAAGGGGCATTCCACAACAGTGCCAGGCATGTTAGAGGAGGCTCAATCTCAATCGTCTCAGCAGCAGCCTGATGTTCCAACACCCCCTTATCCACTCAGACAAGCCAGAAAGAAGACTTCAGATGTAGCTATCAACAAATTTATGAACAATCTGGAAAGGTTACACATCAACATTACATTGATTGATGCTTTGAAGCAAATGCCAAAGTATTTCAAGCACCTGAAGGAGTTAGTCTCAAGCAAGCCAAGGATTCATGATTTATCATTCATAACTTTGAATGAGGAGTGCAGCGTAGCCATTCTTAAGAAGCTGCCAGCAAAGCTCAAGGATCCAGGGAGTTTCACTATCCTCTGCACTGTCGATAACACTAAATTTAAGAAAGTTTTGCTAGATTTAGGAGAAAATATTAACTTTATGTCACTTTGAGTCATCTGACATTACTTTGCAACTAGTTGATACATCCCTGACATATCCAAAGGGCATTTTAAATGACATCTTAGTCAAAGTTGGATCATTCATTTATCCAACTGATTTTGTTGTCTTGGATATGGAGGAGGATAAGGATGTCCCTATCATTTTGGGCAGACCTTTCTTAGCAACATGTGATGCTATCATAGAAGTAAGAAAGGGATTTGTCACTTTGCAGTTTGATGGAGAACAAGTGACATTCAACATCTTCAATAGCATAAAATGTTTTGCAGAAATGTAGAAGTGCTTCAAGCTTGATGCCGCGGAAGAAACTATCGAGGAATCATCTATAGAGGGCCTGATGAATTACTTAAAATACTAATTGATGTTGAAATGGAGGCAGAGCATAAAGATGAAACACAGCCATGACTTGGCTAAGTTACTTAGATCACTCTCCAAAGTGGCCACACAGAAGTCAACATGTGGAGCTGTTGGATCTTTCCGAGGAAGGAAAAACTTATAAACCCTCATTGGAAGAACCACCAACTCTGGAGCAGTAGCGACTACCTACGCATCTCAAGTATGTGTATTTGGGAGACAAAAATACTCTGCCTATGATCATCTCAACATCACTGACTGAGACAGAGGAAGATAAGCTGATGAGAGTCCTGAGGATGCATAGAGAAGCTATTGGGTGGACCATAGCTCACATAAAAGACATCATTCCTTCCGTCTGTAGACAATACAGTAAAAATTTTATGTTTTTGGATAGTAAAATTTGATTAAAAAATTAGACAAAATTAAGGGGGTGTCTGGATTAGGGGTTTGATATCCAATTTTTGTCTTTCATTCCAATGTTTTTTCTATTTAGCATGCTTGGTTGGAGGGTTTGAAATCATCAAAAGGTATTTCATTCCCAATAATCCATTCCACACCGTTTTGGAGGGAATGAAGCAGTTTCCTTCTTCCTTATTTTGCCCTTAATCTGTAGTCAACAACTCAACATACGTCACCTCCTTCTTCATCTTGCTCACTCAACCCACCACCATTGATGCTCCTCCTTCTCCATCTTCCTCACTCAACCCACCACCATTGATGCTCCTCTGGTGACAAAGCATAGATCTGTACGGTGTCTTAGGACAGGCGGCGAAGATGATATAGGCGGCGGTGGACGGCCTAAAACCTACAAGACAGAGCCTCGGGTGTCTCCCGAGGGTAGACTCTCTGATACTTAAGTCAATAATATAATAGAGAGTATATAGAGAGAGATATGTGTATCGGGTGTTGAAGGTGTAGAAGATAGGTAGAAGATATGTATTATGGGAGGGGCACCACCTCTTTATATAGAGGTGGTGTTACCTATTTTCTGAAACCCTAGCGGAATAGGTTTAGGCGGTGGCTTAATCTCCAAGTAACCTAATCCTAGGCCCAATAGGCCTAGGGTTCAGTTTGGACTTGTCAAGTACCCCTAGCAAGCCATATCCTCAAGGTTCGCCGAGAAGAATATGGGTTGCTACGAGTGTTGATGTCTTCTCGAGTTTCATGGTGTTACCCCGGTTCTCAAACTCTTTTGTTCTAAGGTGTCACCTATATAAAATAAAGAGAGTAGAATGTCTCAATGAGGTCTTATGTTAGAGAGTTTCTTGTTTGCATGGTGGACCGCGAGTATCCTTATTTGCACAGTGGAACGCGAGTATCCTTGGTTGTACGGTGGACCATGAGTATTTGGATCATCGAGATGAAATATATAATGTGATAATGTAATGACAAATAATAATAAGATGATTATGAGGAATATCAGTTCAAGCAGAGGATATTAGGATGATTTCTCAAATTCCTTGCCCCAAGGGTATGTCCCCGTTTGTGCCCCCGAGTACGTTTTCCTCGTTGAAAGGTGATGGGGTTTTACTGCAAAAGGGTTCGTAGCTTGAAGAACTCCTTTGATCATGCTCAAAAAGATATCGTGATATGATAGTAGTAATATGCTAATGATATCAGTAGTGGATTGATTTAGATTCGAGAAATCTATTAAAAAATGTTTGAGAAGTATCTCGATCTCGAGATAAATTAATTATTCGAGAAGGTGTTACCTCGATTCCGAGAAGGTAGTATTTGAATAGATGAAAGTTGAGATACGTCTTCTCGAACACTTCTAGTAGTAGTAAGGTGCTCGAGGGATGCTTGTCCCTTCGAGGAGATGTATCTCTCGAAACTTTAATCTCAGAAATTGCCCCTTGCTTTGAGGTTAAGGGGGTTAATCTGCAAGATTATAAAACTATTAGGGTTAATCAACCATAAAAGACTAGAGGGGCTGAGTTGCAAAATCTAAAAATGGATGAATCTTCTCGGGCTTGTTTCCAAAATTTGAGAAGAAAGTTTGTGCTGTCAGCTTCTGCGTCGAAAGGAGTAACTTGACATGAAAGTCGACAGCGTCTTCATCGGCCTCTTTATCGGTGGGAGAAAGTTGGCATGTACGTCAATAGGGAACTCGTTGAGCTGGATGTCGAGACGAAGAAGTCGACGCTGGACCAGACAACTATTAGGTCTGCAAAAATATCTATGTTCCTAAATGATTGTTACGTTTTTTTCTCGGTTGCCTTTTGTTTTCAGCAGCGACTATGCACCTTGGTTGCAGCCGGACAAAGAAGTTATAAATTAGATCATCATCGTTTACGTCATGATTCATGAAGCACCAATAAATTTCAGTTTCGTTTCAAGAAATTTATTTGGTTGTGAAGACCAAACAAATCGGTCTAACCGGGCGTGCTATTTGACGAAGCAATGATCTGTACGGTGCCTTAGGATGGACGGCGACGATGATCTAAGCGGCGGTAGATGGCCTAAAACCTACAAGACAGAGCCTCGGGTGTGTCCCGACGGTAGACTCTCTATACTTAAGTCAATAATAGAATAAAGAGAATATAGAGAGAGGTATGTGTATCGTGTGTTGAAGGTGTAGAAGATTAGATAGAAAATATGTATTATGGAAGAGGCACCACCTCTTTATATAGAGGTGGTGTTACCTGTTTCCTGAAAGCCTAGCGGCATAGGTTTAGGGGGTGGCTTAATCTCCAAGTAACTTAATTCTAAGCTCAATAGGCCTAGGGTTCAGTCTGGACTCGTCATCTGGTTTCCTTCCGCTACTTTTGCCAATTAGAACAATGCAACCACCAACCCGGGTCGATTTTTTCTTTCTATTTGGCTCTTTTTAATCGATATGTTTTGTAATCGGATTAGCATGTATGACTTGTGGGTTTGGTTGGCTATTTCTTCCCCCATCTTCATTGGCCACTCTTTCTGGCAATAAACTATGCCTCTTTTTCGAATGGAATTATTTTGTTAAAGTGGAGACAGCTTTATTCATGGAGGAATAAGTATATGTATTCTTGTTTTAGATATTAATTTGTTCCTTGCTAGGCCGTGAAAACTTGAAATATTAGGCGGTGGCTGTCAATGGACTAGAAGAAGAGTGGTGTGGAAGCGTGTAGGAGGAGAAAGAAAGGGATGGTGCTGTAACGTCTGTGAAATTTAACCTACTTGACATTTCGTAGAGTTTCCTAGTAGCATGACATCGGATTTTGTGCACTAAAGAATAGATCTATTTTGTCATCGGATTTGGATTTAGCTCTTTTCTCCGTCTGCAATTTTTTTTCTTTCTATTTGGCTCTTTTTAATCGATATGTTTTGTAATCGGATTAGCATGTATGACTTGTGGGTTTGGTTGGCTATTTCTTCCCCCATCTTCATTGGGCACTGTTTCTGGCAATAAACTATACCTCTTTTTCGAATGAAATTATTTTGTTAAAGTGGAGACAGCTTTATTCATGGAGGAATAAGTATATGTATTCTTGTTTTAGATATTAATTTGTTCCTTGCTAGGCCGTGAAAACATGAAATATTAGGTGGTGGATATCAATGGGCTAGAAGAAGAGTGGTGTGGGAGCGTGTAGGAGGAGAAAGAAAGGGATGGTGCTGGAACGTCTGTGAAATTTAACCTACTTGACATTTCGTAGAGTTCCTTAGTAGCATGACAGCTAATGAAAATTGTATTAAATTAAAAGCTAACTAGGTTAGCATTAAACTTACAAATAAATTAAAACTACGATAGGAATGGATCAATGTAACTCGTTTAGGTTTGGAAATGACAAGATAATTAAAAATGGACAAACTTGATGAACTAGGACGATTTTGTAAGAATGCCAAAAAAAATGGGAGAAATCTAATACTAATCTAAATGTTATTGATTTAAATATGTAATACTAGTGCCTTGGAGGCTTTATGTTAAATTAATTTTGTTTCATGGAGGAAATTTGAAGTACAGTTGTACTTTTGTTCTTGATAGATATTGCGTGGATGTAAATAATAGGAATATGGTCAGAGAAAAAAAAAATGCAATGTTTAGGCCTTGAATTTTTTTTAAAAAAAAGAGAAGAGGTGGGGGTTGGGGAGAACAAACTGGAAGGTTTTAAATAATGGAAAACCAAGAGGTTTTAGACCCATAGCTTGACACCGGAAAGGTTACAAACTTGAGTGTCCATTTTTCAGCTCAATTTACTGAACTTCCACGAAGAAAACCGTAGGAAGTAAGCTAAAGATAAAAATAATAATAATAATAATAAAGCTTTATATGTTAACCGCCTAAGGAGCTTTCCTTAGACTCTTTAATATAAAAGCAGGGAGTGGGGAATAATATGTAGGTAGGAGAGCTCAGGGAGGTAGAAAAAAAAAAGAATGGGAAAAGAAAGAGTAAGGGAGAGGGAAAGCGAAGGAGCAGGAACCGAAGAAGAAGTAGCTCGACTTCGGTTTCGATTTCGTACGTTCTTGTGTTTTATTACGGGTAAATAGGTAATTGCCACTCTCTTTTTTTGAAATATAGTCGATATTGGCATGTTCTTTCTTTTAATTGTGGATTTAAATTGATATGGAAAGCATGAACAACACTTGATGAAAATAATAACTTGAGTAATAGAATATAATTAGTTCGGTCTTTAATTTTAGCCAAGAACAAAGTGAGCTGATGTTAATTTTAGAACTCCAGGAGGTGACATGAATTATACAGGTTGGATAGTAGAGTTTGTTAGTTTTGACCACAGGAACAAGAAGTAGACAACCATAGGTGACTATAGTTTTGAACGACAACCGAAATTGAACAACGGAAAAGGGGGTTATTAGAAACTATTTTTTTCTTTGGTTGTAGAAGAGAAAGCATCCGAGATTGAAGTCCCTCGCTGCTCCAGCCACCTTATAGAATAAAAAGATAAATACATAATAACTATACGTTTCAAAATATAACTAGGAGTCTGTGGATAACCGGTGTCGGTATTAGCCACAGCACGGGAAACGGGACTATTTCTCTTGTGGTTAAATTCTTAGCCGCAGAAGTCAACGGTCCGTGGATAAATTAGCCACAAAGTTAGCCACAACTTCCGTGGATAATGTTATTTATGGAATATGTCAAAAGTATAAGTTATCCATGAAATGTTAATGTTAAATCCGTGGCTATTTAAGTACCAACAAATTCCGTGGCTAAAATCTACAAGCTTATGGTCGTGTGTAAACTTGTGGTTTTAATGCTAAATTACTGCGGTTAAAAGTTAACTTTTTAACCACAACTAAGTCGTGGAAAAATGTAATAGTAAAAAAAGTGACCATTGACATCTAATGAAATTTAACCACAACTTGTCCGTGGCAAAGTTATACAAAAACATATTAGCCACGACAATATTTGTAGGTAAGTTGTGATAATAGTAAACAGATTAGCCACGGAATATGTTGTGGCTCATTTCTGGAACAGATTACCCACAGAACTATTTTTAAGAATTCCTGATTTTTGAAATCACACAATCACTACATAATTTGATACAAAAAGCTTACGCGTTCCATTAAACCACCATAAACGTTCTAAGATCCAAGTAGCATAATTTACAATACCATCCGGAATACAATCCGGATGAACGTTAACCAAAATAAAATCATCCAAGTCAACATTCCACTAGATAACTTCCTACAACATCCGAACATCTAATCCATCAACTAGATTGATTCAAAACCAAAAATATAACTATCAACTAGAATCAATCTCAAAATATGAATGAAATCAATCATAAAGGAGTATGGCCATCAACGTCACTCAATGGACGATTAGAAGCACTAGCATTTGGATTTGGATTCTTTGGCGTACCTTGAGGACCATTCTCTAGCACTGAGGCAAAACTCGGACATGACCTTTTTTTTTACACAGCAAATCTAGGATAGAGTGTATCTTTTGAAAGTCACTCCGGATAGTTTGCAACTCGGTAGTCAAATGCTTTATCTTCTCCTTTTGTTGTGTCTCTACAGTTGAAGGTGGAGGCACACTTGGCCTTTGACGTCCCAATGAGCAATAACGGTATGTTTGTGACCCAAGACCATAAACCTTTCTTTTCTTCATACCCCTTACAGCCTTGAAAAAGATTCCGTCTTCATCTATAACTTGTTCAGACCCTGTTTCTGCTGCTAATGCACCAACCTCTTGTCGCAATTTCACCATTTTATCCTATAAGAATTTCAAGGCACAAAAAATGCTCAAATTATAGCCTCCTAAAAACCAAATCAGAGGAGCGTAATCTTATGATATTCTCAGACCAAAATAGAGAGGCGCAAGTGATAGAAGATTATCAGACCTTCACAAAGAGATGTAAGTTTAAAAAAGAG